GCCCCCACCTTGCTCTGAAAACACAGGGGGTCGCTCACTTGGCACAGCAGCTATTCATAGAACGCCTTTACTATTTTTATCAGTGAGTAAAAGGCATTATCCGATTAAGAAGCGACTTGTGACATCATCGCTCCTCGTCCAATCAGAGAAAGCCTTGTATTTATCAATGTGTACAATATTATTGATAAACTGTGGAATTTATTTATACATTTGTATCCTATGCCTATGTCTGTAAAGAAACTGACGTCATCGCATTTGTATACCATTGAGAACTACACGTCCCTCTGTTGCAGTGGCTGACGAGACTCCATTCACAAATCCACAAATTCAGAAAGATAAACAAGCCTGCGGGGAGAAGAACCCTGTGATTCAGGTAAGTGGGGGGGATGGGGTTTTTGTGATCTAACCATGTTTCATGTTACACGTTAAAAGGTAAACTAAGCCTTTAAATAAAGAAAACATTATATAAAATAAAGAAAAAGTTGGAGTCACCGGAAAAGTATTTATTATTTATCTTCATTTACTGATCACATCTCAGTTTTATAATTCTAGTGACAAGGTTGCTTAAAAATGTTAAATTGATCTAAGCCTTGCATAGGAGGCCCATGGCTTTGGCACTACACTGGGTACTCCAGGCGTTGCTTCTTTTGGCATGGCAATGTGGAAGAGCTGCATACTGCTCAATGCTTGTAAAGACATTTCTTCCAGCTGCTAAGATTTGTCATTTTTTACTGTGTAATGATGACAGTCAGGAAAATTATGTGTAGTACAGTGATATACACTGAGTGGCCAGATTATTATGACCACCTGACGTTTGTAGTCAAATTAGCTATAATTTCGTGCCAAATGTCCATTTGTCCATCACAAATGTCCATCTAATGCCAGCATGAGGCTTCCCTGCAGATATCAGATTAACTCCAACCTCCTCAGGAACGTATCTGGTTGCATACAAAGCTCTGATCCTGCCCCAGCGATGGGCACAGACAAAAAGGGAAATCCATTCAACAAGCACAAATCAAAGGGTCTACCCCTTCTCCATTCTATTCAAAAGCATTAAAAAAAACACACATCTAACCTTTTAAATATCTAGTAGCAGCTGCAAGGGTATATAACTGCAAATCTGGAAAATTGAAGCCTCCATTTTTCACAGATTGTTGTAATATATGAAGACTAATTTTATAGTGTCTTTTACCCCCCATATAAACCTATAAAACGGATATGCCAAACTCCAGCTGGGCCTAGCATTCTCTGCTAAATATAATGCTTTTGCCTTTTCCAGGTTTACACAATATACAGAGACAGAGCCATAAGCCGCCATCACCGAAAGTACAGTATATTAGGGAATGCCATCTTCGGATTCAAGATATATCGTAATAGGTCATCTACAAAAACAGCGATTTTCACCTCCATGTTCCTATTTTGATACCCTTAAACTCTGGCAGGGATTCTATGCCAAAATAAATAAAATTGGTGAGAGGGCATCCTTGTTGGTCAAGGTGCCTCCATCAGGCATTAAACTACAGAACATACCACCAATCTCCTAGTCTAAGGGCTGGTTCACACCAGATGCAGTTGTGATGCAGTCCGTTCAGGTTGGCTGCTGCAGCCAAAATACATCACAATGCTTTCCTATGGGCTTTCTCGTGCTGTATTCACACCATTGCAGTCCGTTCAGATGGTCAGAAAAAAATACTGCTTGTCCTATTTTAGCTGCATCTAACTGCACCGGAACGTATCAAAATGCACCAGAACACATACAAAAAAAAAACCCAGAATTGATCGTGGCATCATCCAGGGGAAAAACGCATCTGAATGCATCAAAAACACAACAAACACGTCAAAATGGATCGCAATGCAGCTGCGCAGACGCACGCAGTTGTGATGCAGTTCCTGGTGTGAACTAACCCTTAGGGAACTCAAAGTTGCTTCACAAAATAATGTAGTAGTAGTCCAGACTTTTGTCTTTGTTCAAAGAATTAAATGTAAATCTTACACAATGTCATGGTCAGTTTGAAATGTCTGCAATGTTTTAGTTATATATAAGGCTTCATTACCTTTAGACCCATTACATTCTTTACTAAAGTGGATTTTATTAAATTTGTCTTAGTAAAATCTGACAACCGATATTTAACCTATAACCATTAAACAAAACAAACCATAAGTGCTATGCAAATCAAGCCATGGGTACAGTATTTCCTTTATTGCCTTCTTCTATGGCAGAACAAAGGTTCAGGGGGAAATTGTATACAATGTCTGGCATCGAATATTGCTCAACTGGTAGCTTAATTTTGCATGAAATACCAAAGTGTCAAAAGGGATTGCAGGGGTACAATGGTTCTTGGGACTGACAATGCAAAGTAAAGCGCTCACTCTGAAAATAGTGCACAGGAATGGCGTATCAGTGAATAAAAGACAAAGTAGAGGGAGAAAAAGCAAGTTAAGTAAAGACCTGTGCTGCTGAGATGGCAAGTGGTGTAGTTTTTACCACTTTACCAGTATTGTATTTATATTCTAATGGGAGGCACCTGCAACTAGCACGCAGGCCTATAGAGAAAATAACAAACGGTTACATGGCTCCTGTTAGGCCGGAGGAAACACAAAAAACTGAGGTGGTGGGGCTGTACCGCCCCTTTTATTTTAATTGTGGATGATGTGTTTCCTGTTTGGGTGGGTGGATTCTCTCTCTCTCAGATGCTGCCCTGGAAGATGACTTGGGGAAAAATGTGAGAAACACGGTCCCAGGAGAGATCTGTCTAAAATTGGGTATACACTACGGTAATAGTTTCTTCATTCAACCAGAGGGCTGAACAAAGAAAATAACAGATTCTGTTTTATATATATATATTTACGATGGGGGACGAATCCCCCAACACTTACATTGTATTCTGACAGCAGCCAGGGGCCAATGACAGAACACCTGAAGAGTGCTTGCAGCCAATTAGCCATTTCGCCGAAGATTTTTTCCAAGCGGCTCCTCCGATTTTCTGATGGAGGGATGCCGTCAGAACGGGTGCCGACAACGGCACCCACTGTGCGAATTTCGGCAGGTTCATCAAGAACCCTGATGAATTTTGCATAGTGAATACCCTTAAATGAAGTCATTTGGAGTAGTAGATGTATTTAAAGCTTACCGTAATATCAGTAAGATACTCACAAGAGGGGTTGCGAAATGTCCTAGTAGTATGTTAAGGCAACCACGAAGTGTCCCGATGTATAAAGATGAATAAATGTCACCAGCACACAACCAGTATTGCAGTCCAGAGTTCGTTTATTAGAATGTCATGTCACCAAAACTAGTGCTTTCGGGGCCACGCAGGGTCCCCTTCATCAGGCTCAGCTGATGAATAATGATACCCAGCTCAGCTGAGCCTGATGAAGGGGCCACGAAAAGCGCTAGTTTGAGACATTTATGCTGTGTGGCGGCGCCATCTGCAGGTCACTACAAGCACCCCCCTTGATCAACTTTGTGTTTTTCCGGTAAGGAGTGCAACAAGGTATCTTTTGGTTTGTCTCAGTGTCCCAATGTATGACATCAGGACATGTTGCTGCTCTGCAGACTTGGTGTCATCCTATACATTCCTGAGAAGTGGCCACAAAACACATTGAGTTTTTTATTCTTGCACTTCCTGTCCAGTCAAAATCGATATCACCACAAGAATGGTTCCAACCTGTTACATCCGGGTATCTCATTATTATTGGGGTACAGTGGCCCTTTAACTGAACCAAACAGGAATGACAGCAGAACTATCAATAAAAACCTGAAGTTTATGAAAATCATGAACTTTGGATTCACTTAACTATTCCAAGCTTGAGGGGTTGCAATTCAGCTCAATGAGGTAATACACAGATAACCCGTCCACTGTATCTAACCAGAGCAACACAATAATCTTGTCTTGGTAACGGTCATGTAAGGACTTGCCTCTCACATAACCTGATGGATGATTCTGTCATCTATTGCCAACCATAACATTAGCACATGGTGGGAGCTCTGGAGAAACCATTCCATGACCTAATGCAAGCGGCAGAATAAAAAACATTTAATATCAGTACCTGCCTACTGCTGTCAGAATCTGACAAAGGTGGGCCAAAGTGGTTCTATGCTGAAGTTGAATCCCCTGCTGGTCAGAACTCAAGGCATCCTTGTGAAAGTGGCCTTAAGATAAAGCCTTGCAATGAACTGTGTATCAAAAAAGTTGCGCTTTCACAACAAGCGGTATTAAACCTAGTCAGCCACTTTGGTCAGCATTCTGATTTTTATTAACAATCTTTGGTCTCTTTTAATACAAGAAATGCCAATACTCTGAAAAGCACAGCCTGCTGTCACATTCGTAGGAAAGCCCTAGGGGTGTGCAGGCTGGAAGATGTGCATGGAAGTTTTTTTAAAAATTACAGGAAACCTGTATTGGAGGTAAATATTGAGGGAGGGCAATGCTCACCTACAATGCTAGTTGCCTGACTGTCATACTGATACCATTAATTTCATCCTTCACTTGCCTGGAAAAAGCATGGGGATGAGTAAAGTCAGAATTCTATCAGTTGCACACTTGCTCTGGGTCAAATCCTAAAGTATCGAAACTGCTGAATCAGCATTACAGCACAGCAACTTGCATTTTCAGAAGAGGAGATGGTCATTGGCAACCTCCATACCTCCTCTTTACAAGTCTTTTATACATGAAAAGTTGTATCAAAAGGATATTTGTTATGTATACAGACAGCTTTTTAGCTGCATTTTGACAGGTCCACTTCAATGATTGCTATAATCTCCGTTTTTGTTTTTTATTTTGAATGTAAACAATTTGTTTTAAATACAATCAAAGAGTTAAAACCAAATGAAGCCTTTTAATCCAATTTTCTCCAAAAATAAGAACAAAGCATCCTCTTAAAACTTAAACATCTTCTTGAGCGACATAAAAAGTTCTGCTTTTCTTACAGTAATACAGAAAACTATTTTGTCAGAGATATCTCCCGGCTGGGTATACTTCTATGCTGACCCTTAGAGAACTGCAGCCAGTCAAAGTACAGCATCCAGAAAAAAGTTCAATGTATTGATTTACAAAATATTCCAGTTCAGTCACTGTCAAACTTTATGGAGTTCACGGTTGTAGAAATGGCTCCACCGCAATAACTGCCCCGCTTTTTCTTTGTCTTTTCATGACGGAAAGATTTTCCTTTAGTGAATTTCAAAACATTATTGGCTTTCTCCCCCCAGTCTCCTTTTGCTCCTTTCTGAAATATAAAAAAAGAGAAAAAAACATTTGTATAACTAATGCAAAAACATTATGCAGTATCACATTTACTTAGAAGTGTTAGGACATTAAGGGTTGTAAGGTTAATTATTTACATCTAGAAGATAATGTTTGGTCTTGCCATACATTTTTCCATACACAAAGTATCGGTAATTGGTATCGGCAAGTACATGAGGGGATGTACTTGGGCCCGAAAAAGTGGCATCGGGACATCCCTACACACTATATGGCCAAACATTTGCAGATATCCAACCATCACACCTAAGCTTGTTGCACATCCATTCGAAAACTATGGATACCGATACAGAATTGGTGCCATTATAACAGCATCCACTCTGGAAGGCTTTCAACAAGACTGGAGCCCTGACTGCTGGAAAACAAAACTATCCCCCCAATGCCTCTCTTGCTCCGCATGCAATGCTTTCCTTGCCAGCAAAACAATCCTGCCTCTAATCCCAAGTGCCTGCCCACATAGATTTCCAAGATGCCTGTCCCTAAGTTCTGGGAAATGCCTATGTGAAAAGAAATGGACTCCTCCCAGCAGCTGCTCCTGCAAGAATTTTTACAAACCAGGTGATGTCACAAGAGTAATAAAACCAATTTCATGATACAAGAACAAAGTAAAAGACCTAATACCAAGACATGCTCTAGAGCCGTGGTTCTCAAATGGTGGGTCACCGCATGCCTTCCACTGCAATAGGCGACATGCTCCTCAGCCTCCCCCTAGTGCAGCACTGTCATTTCTCATGTCGAGCAGCCATTCAAAATATGCTGCCCAGCACTCAGTGTCAGCTTGAGGTGGGGTAGGCTCAGGTTATGGCAGCGAGGGAGCTCCATCCATACATTCATTGCTTACAGCTCCCTCGTATGTCCTGTAGGAGGTGCCTGGACCAGAGTGACGTCACATTCTGGCTCCCAGCACCTCTACAGGGAGTGTATGGGATCTGTACAAGAAATGCACATATGGATGGAGCACCGTCACCGCACATCAGCCCACAAATTGGCCCCAGGCTGAGAATCTACTCCAGTTCTCATAAGGTAGGGAGACTAGGTGGGTCTTAGGGAAAGAAAAAAAAAATGTTGCAGCATGTGTGCGAGATTGTCAGTGTTTTTGAGGGCCTGTTAGCACTAGTACAGTGCGTTAATCGCACTGTACCACACATTCGCATCTAGCACACCGTCTGATGCGGGAGGTGTGTTGTGATCATTTAAATGGCACCCCAAACGCACCTAGAGTCAACAGTTGAATCGCCTGCACAGAAACCCACAGTACCGCAATGCCGTGCTTTTCAGTGAGGTGTGACTTGGGTCGCAACTGTATGATCAGTGATCAAGGACAAATATGGGTCCTGAGGTTACACAGGTTTTGAACCCCTGCTCTAGAGGGAGATTTGAGGGAAAACAGAAAATCAAATTAAAGTAGGTGTTCCAAAATGCACAAAATATAAATGACTACAAATTATAAAAAAGTGTTAAAATGGAGAGTTCATACATCAGGAAGCAATTTGTATTCCCTTTTAGAGCAAATGCCCTCAGGTCAACTGTGTAGTTTTTTTTTTTGTTTAACATAATGGAATTGTTTCTTTAACCTCTGCAAGCAAGTGGAGTCAGGAATGGCTGCACATGGATCTCACCACCAGTCATGAGAGATAAGGTAACAGTCAGGCAATATAGGTTGCCAGTATTTCCCAAAACTCAAATTTCAACTTAGGGTGGACTAAGCCTTTGCTCTTCATTTAAGGCAACTTTCGTTTTACTTCCCCTTTAAATACCTAACTTCTGCACACAGAAAACTTTAATGAGCTAAACACTCAATCATATGAATGCGGCCTATGAAATAACATACCATTGCCTATGCCATGTGGGATTTACTTGTAAAGGCTACACACTGTACTTTACCTTTGCGTCAAACGAATTGTTAGACATACGGGGGTCAACGTCAACATGCTCTTCAACTACTCTTCGGAAAGGAGTATTTTTCTGATCTTCCTATACCACATCAAAGACAAACATTTTTATATAAAAATCGGAAATACACAGTCATTTTCAAGATTGTTTAATTGCATGGATATCAGTATGGTATAACATCTTTTTACAGAAATTAGGCATTTATTGATGAAAGCCACCAGATGTTTATCTGTAAAAAAAATAAGTCTTGAAGACTGGTCAGCCAACCAGCTTTCCTAATTCTGAATTGAGAAAACTGGTCGGATGTCCAGCGAAACGTCACCACCGAAACGACACCAGATGTTTATTCCAATCTAGACCAGTGGTGGTGAACCTTGGCACTCCAGCTGTTTTGGAACTACAAGTCCCATGAGGCATTGCAAGGCTCTGACAGCCACAGACATAACTCCCAGAGGCAAACACATGTTGGGATTTGTAGTTTTGGCACAGCTGGAGTGCCAAGGTTTGCCACCACTGATCTAGACAATTAACACTCAAGAGCATGTAGAAAATTGTTAAAGTTGCATTTTAAAACAGAATGTGGTTCCATTTTAGTGGTGTAGGTATAGCAACTAATTCAGGCACAGTGCCATGGATACACATTTAACATAGAAAAAATGAGCTGGAAACAGGCCCTACAGAAATTTCAACCAAGCCAACACCACCCCCAAGGAGATTTTGTAATGACCATGTTATGTCTCTTCTTGCCCTTAATAATCTTTCAATACAGAATACTAAAAAGAGACTGGATATTTTTTTTTTTCCCTTTAAAAATGTGGAAGGTTCATGTTATGAACAGGGGATTGCTGATGTTTATGGCACTAGCGCATAAATATCTGCAGCAGAAGCAATTGATGGAGGTTGCCATTCACTAACCCAGAGGCTGCATACGAGCGTCAGAAGGGAAAAGCTGAAGCTATCCAGATACTCTGATGTGCAACTAATATGAAGGCCAAAAGTCAGAGAATGGCACCTTCTAAGTCTGCTCTTCGGGTTCATAATAGATTCTCTATCTTCTCCACTAAAAATGGAGCAGTAGCTTTCCTTAACAAAGATTCATGTAAAAGCTAACTGCTGTGTCATCGTCCGGAACTGCCATACGCATTGCACATGCCCATTCTATGTATTCCACAAAGTGCTTAACAGAATATCTGCATTTACTCTACATTCTGCTCTTTAATAACCAGATCTCATTGCCGTGTCAAACGTTCAGTATATGCATTCTAGTACTGACAAATGTACGAACACACATTACAGGGAGTGTCTTCATGGTCATCAGGAAGTTCACCCGGTCTTCATTTAAAAGACATGAGCAAATATCTGGTCACTATATACCAGCAATTGTGAACCTATGGCACTCAGAGGCTCCTTTGGTGGAGCCTAGGCAGGGGTGTCGGAATTCGTATCGCCCAACAGTAGCTTTTTTCTACATTTAGCCCTGCTTCGGGCAAGCAGGGCTAAATATAGAGATGAAGCCACCGCTTGATTAATACAAGTGATCTCTGCGATGCTGCCAAGATCACTTGTAATAAGCCTGCTGGTCCGTCCCCAGCAGTGTTGGTACTTTGAGATAAATTGATTTTGCGTTGCAGTTTGGGCACCAGGCCTCAAAAATGTTAGCCATCACTGCTATATACAATGGATGGAACATAGCAGAAAAGCCATAAAAACAGTTTATGGGTAGCATATGCTTAACATTTTGCTCTACAAAAGGGGCTCTTGAAATACTGGCCACTGGTTAACTTCTGCAATTCCCCGCTGTGGAGTACTAGTAAGAATGGTGTGCCATGCTTTTCAGGGATTCCCAGGTCATACTATTATCATGCTTCTGATTAAATTTCAGGAGATCAAAATTAATGTGCATCTAAACTCAAGAACAAAAATATAACATGTTGCAGTTTATCAGTCCTTAGATGTTGTGGCTGCATTGTTTTAGGCTTTTGTTCCTTTATTTTCATCTAGTGATCCTGCCGAAACCACTTTTAGTCCTAGGGCAACAACACTGACTGTACTCTATACATGGAGCAGCATTGTAACCCTAGGAAAAGGACAACAGAACATAGTGGGAGATGTTTTGTTGTCTGCAGAAGAGAACTGGGACAAATCCTAACTGCTAAGTCTCAGCAGAGGAAGTTAGCAGCTTGCTGGATTTCCAGCAGGATGAGGAAGTTAGCAGCTTGCTGGATTTCCAGCAGGATGAACAGGTATTTTTTGCATCTGTCATACAGTTAAGAAAACATTTTCAATAGTATATTTAACAGACCAAAAGGAAGCAAACATTTACATACACCTCAAAGCAAAACTGCAGTTGTTCATTGCAACCAGTCAATTGTATTTCAATCTCTTAGAAATAGAATGCGGTTACAACAGGCTTCATTTCTGCTTCACCATTTATAGATGTACACTAGCAAAACAAGTCAGAAGTGAAACCATTTTTGCAGTTGCACTCCGCTGATATTATATGCAAACTCCACACACAATAGTTACGTTTTGTGTAGTTTCCTTTTGACTATATATGCAGTACATTTTCAAAATCCAAAATGAGTGCCCCGCAAATTCTCCATAACGTTGGGAAATAAAAAATTACACCGGGATATCTAGCTACAAGTTAGTGAAGCATTTGGCTCAGAAAGTCTGTTCAGAAAGTGGATTGAGACAAACTACTAGATGAAAAATGTTGCCACTGTAAAGATATAAGGGAGCTACAGGGTAATTGTACATTTTGATGGCAAACAGACAAATTTGTTGGTCCCCTTACAGCTCATTGATATACTGCTTCATTCCTCCTGAAAATGATGACATTACAAAGCAATTGTCTCATGTATACCAGCAATGCTATTGGTATGTCAGATTAAAGCAAAGAAAATAAATAGGAGAGAAATTGTTGCTAATTCAACAAAGCAATTTTAAAATGGCCAGGACAGATTTGTTGGAACCCCTAGAAAAATGTATAACTATTTACATCATAGGGATATTTCAAACTGCTTGCTGTAATTAGTATCACACAGGTCTTCAATCTTGCAATTGGTCAGCTTATTTAAATGGACAAAAAAAAAATCAATCACTCTGCTGTTTGGTATCATTGTGTGCACCACACTGAACATGGACCAGAGAAAGCAAAGAAAAGAGGTGGCTGAGGAAAATCAGAAACAAACTGATAGACCAGCATATTAAAAAGGTACAGGCTATAGGACCATCTCCAGGTCCTCCTTATCTGTGACTAGTCGCAAATATTAAATTTAAGGTCTATGGAAGTGTTGCTAACCTCCCTGGCCACAGCCACAAGCGGAAAATCAACCTCAGATTGAACAGAAGTATAGTGTGAATGGTATACAAGAAGCCAAGAAAAAGCTCAACTCCAAGGTCAGGGTACATCAGTGTCTAATCATACCATCCATGAGGTTTTGTTAAACTGCATACTGACAAGTGACAAGGCTTCTGGGAAAATGTCCTTTGGACAGATTAGACAAAACTGGAGCTTTTGGCAGGTCACATTATCTGTGTTCACATATAAAAAAATTAGGCTTTCAAAGAAAAGAACATACGTACTGAGAAGCATGGAGGAGGCTTGACTGTTTTGGGGTTGCTTTGCTGCATCTGGCAGAAGGTACTTTGAATTTGTGCAGGGCATAAAGAATTCTCAAGAAATTCTGAACCAAAACCTATTGTCTAGTGTCAAAGCTTTGTTTTAGTTGCAAGTCATGGGATAATGAGCTAAAACATAAAGCTAAAAGCAACCAAGAACAAAATATTTCTACAAACCCTGCTGTAAATCTAGAGCTAAAAGATGCATTATGGAAAAGGCACCATTCAAACTTTTGGATGGTGCAATGGCCAAACTACCTGTTAGCAGATGCAGACATCTTAATAAAAGGAGAAATGTAGTATATCTGCTACATCCCACAGAAGTGCGTACAATAGTTTTTATGTCATCTCTTCAAATAGAAGCTTTTATAGTTTTTACAGATAGAACAGGTTGACCACCATTCATTCCAGTCACACTTTGCCCATAATTGCATCAGAAACACAATAAAGACTTAGTACACAATTGTGGGTTTTATTCAACGTCTGAAGCAACAGATTAAAAACAAAACCTTTAATATAAAAGCATATACATTCATCTCCCACAGTCCACATTCAAGATGGTAGTCATTCTTCTGTTGATTGCCATCATTTTCTCACCTTCTTGTTAGCCTTGGGGAATGTGTTTGGAGTTTTCACTTGAATTTTCTTATTGTCCGGTGTCTGCTCCTGATCACCTTCCCTTTTCCGTTTTCCAGAATTACCTGAAAAAAAAATGTTCTGTATTGTAAACCAAGAGCTACTTCATAACAGAAAATAATGTTGAGGTTTTAGGTATGCCACTCAGCGCAACGCTGCTAATATTCTAGGCTTCATTGTAACTGAAAACATTTTAACGTTAACCCGTCACAAATCAGGGCGATGCCTAGAGAGCTGCTGACAGACTGCAAACACATGTTACTTCAGTCAAAACTGTATGTTAAAGATGTAGAGGCAGCAGAAGTTATATACATTATCTTTTTTGTAAAAAGTCAAGTCTGCCTGTTGACCGCCCTCCAGTCTCTCAATTTCCATACTGGTCCTTTAATACCCGCAAACCCCCCCCCCCATGGTGAATGGCAGACCTGCAGGCTGCATACAAGTGATCTCAGCGACATCACTTGTACAAAACAGGCGGCAGCTTTCCCACTGTACACTTAAGCTCTGCTTGCACAAAGCAGGGTTAAATGTAGAAAACTACCTGCCCAGCGCCCGGAACTGCATGTCCCATGCATCTAGAGATAGGAATTCCACACCTCTCCTGCCCTTCTACTCCCTGCTGCCCCAAGGACGGGCCTTGGGGGAAATCCAGCCCTGGTGGTGCTCACATTTTGCAAGCACCCAGAAGTCTAAAAGTACTACAGAACCCAGGTAGGAGCGATATGCATTCAAGGGAGTTTGTCAATGATGGCCCGAGCTCAAAAGAAGTGGTTTAGATAACTGAGCATCCACCAACAAGGAAGAGTATTGGTGCTGGATTGCAGAGCGGTGAGTCTGCAGGAGACAGCACCAGAGAGGGGACTATTGCAGCATAGGCAATACTTTATGGCTAATGTTTTTTTAGTTTCAAAAAAAAAAAAAAAAAAAAAAAAAGGGAGTTGGGCTTTCAAGACAGTTTACAAGGAAATGTTATATTTACCATCAAAAACAGAAAGATTGCACTAAGAAAAAGCTAGAACACTTGTCAAACTTAAAAGCATAGAATAGAGTAACTAAATATATTTATTAAAAAGATTAAAGACACAAGAAGCTGACATACCATTCACTGTGACATTTTCCTCCTCTTCCTCACTGGAGGAGCTTTCCTCTGAACTCTCTTTAGCTTTCTTAGCTGCAGCTTTTGGTGTGGACTTTGCACTCTTGGGAGTAGTGGCCGGTTTAGCTGCTGGAGACTTTGAGGTAGCTGTTTTTTTTGCTTTCTCCTCTTCTGAGCTACTCTCTTCAGAGCTGCTTTCTTTTTTCTTTGGGACGGACTTTGCTTTCTTTTTCACAGCTGCTTGTTTAGGTTTCTCTTCTTCATCGCTGGAGCTGTCTGATGAAGAGCTACTACTGGCTTTTGTTTTATTCACAGGGATTGGTTTCTTGGCAGCTGGTGCAGCTGCTGGTGACTTAACAGTTTTTTTAGCTTTTTCTTTTTCATCACTTGAGCTGTCGGAATCAGAGCTGCTGCTCTGTTCTGCTGCCTTGTTTTTCACTGGTCCTGCAGACTTGGGGGTCAAAGGTTTAGTTGGTGTCTTTTTACTAGCCTCATTCTGCTTGGCTGGTGCTGGCTTTGCCGCAGCAGCTTGTTTAGCAGATGGCTTACTGGCAGCCTTCTTTGTGGAATCCTCCTCGCTTTCAGAGTCTGGGGTGATAAAAGCGATGAGAAAATAATTAAAGTACATTTAAAATGAAGGCCAATGCTGCAAGTGGTTTTTCTTGGCAAGAACATGTAAGGCAAGGACTTTACAAAGCACTGTTAGCAACTAAAAAAAAGGTGTCAGAGGAGCTATGGTTTATCAGAAAGTAAATTCAGATGCTAGTTTATCTTCTCTTCTCACTACTGAACATGACGCTACAATATCCTCACACAGCCCCAATACAAAATACTGATGCCCCTGCTACTCCTGTCCTTAAAGGAGAACTATGAGGCGAGTGAAAATCATTCAGCCTCAGTTCTAGCCGACCTGTGACAATGAAACTGTCACAGGTCGGCTCAATAGATGGGCAAGTGAGCGAACACATAGCGTTGCTCGCTCACTTCTCGATATATCCCTGCAGAGAGCTGTGACTGTCACTCACTGCTCATTGCAAGGATTCCCCCCCCCCTCATCAGATCCTCCAGTGCTGACTGGCGGAACGGACGGGGAGGGCACAGCTGACGCTGGCTCTGCCTCTAGATAGGCAGAGCCAGCTGTCAATCCCACAGCTGGATTTCGACAGTAATGTCGGGATCGGTCCTGGCTGCGGCATCTCAGTATACTGCGAGCTGTAGCTCGCGGTATACTGAGCTTTAGGTGACGGGTGGACGCTAGTTTGTGTCCTCCCGTTACCCTTAGGAGAACTATGGGGAAAAGCCCTGACCCCATAGTTCTCCTTTAATGACTCACATTCATGCCTCTTGTACTCTACTCTTCTATTTCACACAATATTTACTTAAATTTCCGATTCCCCCCAACTGAAACATGAACACCCTGTCTGCCAATAACAGCTGTATCCCAGGACTGTAACATGTTTAAAGACAGAATGCCATTTCATGTTAATTATAAAGAGTCCAGACTTCTGCTACTAAAAAGGAGTGATGATTTTTACTCATTTAGGAAACACCAGTCAGCCATCAACCATTGTAGTGCTGGCAGTTCATACTTTAGGAGATAAATTAACTTCTGGCAATCATGATCACTCCTTTGCTCAGATAGGGCTAGTATAAATAAAATCAATTCTATAATTTGATGATTACATTTCTCATACCAGAGCTGTCAGAAGAACTAGATTCCTTTTTGCTGGCAGGGACTGCTTTTGCAGCAGGCTTTGAAGGTGGCGTTTTCACTGCTGGTTTAGCGGGAGCCTTTTTCTTTTTTTCATCCTCACTGGAATCTGCTGAGAAAACAAATACTTTCTTATACAAGAACAACAACCAGCAGTACACAAGTTATATTATCAGCCCACATACCATAGTTGCTAGGATTAGAGTTAGATCATATTACTTGTATGGAATATTTCAAGGTTTGTTTGAAATATTCCATACAAGTAAAAATTAGAATTCAGATTTGAAGTGCAGTACATGATATAGTCCTAGCCAAACACAGCCTCAGGTAAGGAGCTCCTAGATTGTTTTACTCCAAGTATTAAATGCTTATGGTATAATATGCATTATAAGGGACATGCCAAGAGAAACAGAGATTTAGCAGATGTTGGAGAGTAAACCATTTGAGATATCTCTCAAGGACTATTGGTAAAATCTGTTTTAGTTCCTGGGTCTGCACACCTACCAAATCGCCATTATGGTAAGTTTCCACTCTATTCAATTTATTGCACACGATGGAGAAAACAAATCAGAAATGGAATACCTAAATCTCCCAGGTGGACAGACCTCAATGTTGGAGTAACTAAAAAATAAACCAGGGGCTAACTGAAGCCAACCAGGCTCCAACTATTGCTACAAGGTGGGCTGACTTTTTAAACAGACCACTTCTCATACATGGAAGGTCTCTCCACCTCCTGCAACGGTAAGCAAAGTATTGTTATACATTACTTGGCAGACCAAGGTCCATATGGACAATGGGATTTAGCTTGTTGCTATAATAGATAAGCTTTCATGTCAGATTTCCCCAGAATGTAGTTTTTAGTTTGATCTTCCAGTAAAAATCTGGAGCTGTAACCCTTTAAGCATACTAGATAGAGAATCTTAATCGTCAATTTTTATTTCCACTGAAATGCCTTTAAATAATTTGTTGGGGATTTTCTTTGCATCACAAAATCCTCACAGCAGGTGAAAGCATCATTAATGTGTTAGGCAAAAAAGAAAATACAAAAACACACATGCATGTTTTCCAATGCTTTATCCCATTACATCACACTGCAAGTATTTAAAAATACTGGTCAATCTCCCAAAAATGCACTTTGAAATCACAAGAAATGGTGTCGGCCATGTCCATTTATCTTTTGCTAAACTACTATGTCACTCTCCATCCCCACAACAGAGAATTCTGTAGTCCAATATGGGAGGAACTGGGAGGAATAACGAGACGCCTTGAGACACAGAACAGCTCTGAATTTCTGAAAAGCCCAACAGCAATTTGTTGCACTTATTGAACAGAAAAAAAAAAAAACCCCAAACACTTAAGGGTTTATTTAACAGCGCATAAAGGGGCAAATAAAAGTTTATTTGGGTCTACATAGGTTTATTGTTGGAGTCTATGCAAACATTGCAACCTTTCAACTTTGTTCCTGCTTCTAAAGGTCCCACCCCAAACAAGTCACTCACCAGAACTGTCAGAAGAACTTGCATCCTTTTTGGCAGGAGTAGTTTTGGCTGGTGTCAGTTTGGCAACAGGTTTTGCAGGTGGAGTTTTTGCTGTGGGCTTAGCTGGAACCTTTTTCGTCTTTTCATCATCACTTGAGTCTAGGTTAAAAAAAAAAAGTCACTCCTTTACTTCGCATGTTAGAATAACAAGGGTCTTTGTATATGGATACTAATGTTTACTGCCGACTTAGACGCATGTATGCAAGAGGACCTGTACAACACTCTCGACCTACACCTGGTAAAATATAGCTTGAATTTTAAAGAGTTACAGTATCTGTGCACAGATGCAGAGGAGCTTATACTGACCTTTAAAGAAGCACATGACACTGCTCTCATATAAAAAACGTTTACAATACTGGTTTTATGAGTGAGAGCTGCCAGCAAAAAACTCTTAACATTCAATGTTTTTTTTTTTTCTGACAGTAGTGCCTTAGCATGCACTAGAAATTCATAATTGGCACAGAGCAGATGAACCATTTAGTGATGATTACAACTGTATCTGAGAATTTAAATTTGAACAGCTGGGCAAATGGTAAAATGTTTTAATAGCATGTTGCATTTCTTGGTAATTGCATTAAGTGAGCACATTTGCTTAGTAATGGGATAAAGTAATTTGAATCTGATGCCACACCTGAACCCACTCACCAGAGCTGTCAGAGGAGCTGGAATCCTTCTTTGCTTGTGCAGATTTAGGAGTAACCTTTGCAGGTGGAGTTTTAGCTGTGGCTGTAGCAGTCTTGCCAGTTGGTGTTTTTGCTGCTGGTTTGCCAGTCTTATCTTCATCACTGGATTCCTCATTGGCTTTCTTTGCAACAGGTTTAGCCGATGCAGGAGACTTTCCTGGCGTGACCTTGGCTACAAACAGAAAAACTATAAACATATAATACACCAATAAGAAAGGAAGGAGGGGGGGTCTACCGGGTCAGAGTTTATAATCGCTTAGTAAACTATACTCAATACACACACTATGTCTGCTACCTGCAGGCAATAAGCCTTGCTATCCAAGAAAAAAAATAAAATGATTTGTTACTCATCTTATAAGGTGTGTGTAGCAATACTAGACTGCATAGAGTTCACTGGAGAAGTTTAAGGAACAAAGCAAATACCTTTCTTTGTTGACTGCTCCTCCTCACTGCTGTCTGAAGAGTCACTGCTGCTTTCTGCTTTAGCATTTGCCTTGGGAGTAGTTTTTGGAGTTGCTTGTTTCTTGTCTAATGTTGGTGGAGGTACAGCACTGTATGCACCTACAAATTGTTACACAGCAATCAGTTCGTTCCATGCGGGACACAAGACAATCTCACATACCTGGCCATATTACCTACCAATCATTGGATTATGATCTATTCAGATATATCCAGAAATGCAGTTTCATGCTGAAAGTCTCAATATTAAAACCCTTAACAGTTTAGAAGCAAAATGTGGTGGTGATGAATGTACTTATCTGCATTATTGTACACAATGGACAGTGCACTGAGGCCATGTATAAAAAGCATTTTTTTAGTTGAAGTTGAACTGCAAAAAAAAAGGAAAGGAGGGGGGATGTTTGGGAAGTGGACCAGTGGGTCGCCCCCCCCCAAAGATGGACATCTCAATAGTGCAAATACCATTTTACTAACAAACTGTCTGCAGGGCTGTCTTCTGGAAAACAAATGGTTCTGCATCTGTATATAGCAGTACCATACACAAGCAAAGATGGCAAGAATATCATGTGAAATAAAAATGTTAAGTATTTTTGTATCTAGCTATTGCTCAGATCAGTTTATACCTATCTAATAATTAACAATGTCCATGCCTAGAATACATGTCCTGCCTGTTTTCGGGCGACCACACGATCCAGAAAGGTCACATGACGGGGCGTTGGCAATTAATCAGTTTGTTTCAATTCTAACTGGTTGCCTTTTATAGACTATTAAGATCCATTCTGCCTGATATTCCTGGAATGCGGCATATAACATGGAATGTTACATTCTGTCATCACACAAATAAATTCATACACACTGGTACCTTATGGGATAGCCCTTGTTTCCTTATCAATCGTTTACCTCCCACTGCTAGTACAGGCCATTTTCCCTCTGCTCTAAGATGGGATACAGCTGTAACCTTATATCATAACATAAAATACAATGATATTATCTACATAAACACACTAACTGCAAATACAGGTATATTAGAACGTACTGCTATTAAAATATTTTCACATCATTGCCAACCTATTTCCCTTTTTCTGTTCATCCAGACAACATGGTAGAGATGTAGCTGGATGGACAGTAGAAGCAGGGAGGGGCTGTCTGTAATCACACTCTCTGGGGATGTGCCAGGGGGCCCCCCCCCCCCCCCCCCGCACTGCAAAGGTCAACTACAGGTTCTTCTACTAGGGTATGTTGATGTAATATTGATATTCTATAAACAGACACACACTATATACATAAACAAAAAACACATGCATACACACACCTCGGGATTAAAAA